ATGGTCACTGTTACTTTATAATTTTATATTATTTTGATAATATTTGTAGAAAACGTATATTATTTGTCTTGGAAGTACATAGTATCAATCTTATTTAATAGTTCTTTACAAGTTTCAATGTACATGTAACAGGATGTTCACGAGGAGTAGGCGATATTTTTTTTAACATTTTGTAGATGGTTAGATGTATTTAATATTATATTTTGAGTTTAGGAACTATTTTTTTGTGTAACTAGGTTAGGTAAAAATATTTAGGAACTTTGTTAGGTAAATATAACATTGAGTTTAGGAACTATTTTGATGTGTTAATAATAGAAAATATATTGATTATATTTTGAGTTTAGGAACTATTTAATATTACATTTTGAGTTTAGGAACTATTTTTTGTGCAATTATGTTAGGTAAAATTATTTAGAAACTTTGTTAGGTAAATATAATATTGAGTTTATAAACAATTTAGATGTGTTAATAATAGAAAATATATTGATTATTTTGCTCGTTATAGATTATTTAGACTATATTTTGGGATTGATATGGATAGTAGCACATGCAAATCTACATTTTAAAAGAACTCACTTTTTACACCGGTTATGACTATAACAGGTATTAAAAAAGTTTCATTTTTTATACCTATTTTAATTTTGACAGGTATAAAAGTAAGTCTTTTTATGTGAGATTTTCCATACCTGTTCTACGAACATTAGGTGTAAAACTATTCTTTTATACCTACTCTCGGATCGGTATAGAAAAACAAATACTTCTATACCCCCTACTTTTATACCCGCTCAAAAACAGGTATAAAAAGTCATTTTTAACAGGTATAAAAAACGTTTTTTGGCATAGTGCCAGGCAAAACACTTGAACTAGCTTTTTGTAACTTTCTCAGACAAACTGTATTCTCAAAAGCTCAGAGTTCACCCTCTAAGGGTTTTGGAACAACTATATATAGGCAACTGGTCTGAATTAGAAAAGACAGATTACAACTGCCACTGATAATCGATTATTGTTAGTGATAATCGATTATTAAAGTCCGTTACAGGATTTTTCAATAAGTGATAATCGATTATCCCGAGGAACAATCGATTATTCCAGAGACTTGTGCAGTTCTCATCAGGACCAGTTGATAATCGATTATTTGAAAGAATAATTGATTATTCCAAAGGGAGATGCTTTTTTCAAGAGTGCTCATGATAATCGATTATAGCTTCTCATAATCGATTAAATGCGTGACTAACTAAAGATACGAGATTTTCTAAGTATTACATATTCAAAGACTTTCCAAATACATTTATATTCTACAAAGTTCTTTTAAAACAATTTTAACAGCTTCTTCAAGTCTATCTTCTTGCAGCATCATCAAAATCATTTATCTTCAAATTTGCCAATGCTCCTCATTGGTAACATATTTAAGAGTACTTACATTTACAATAAAATAGAACATTTACAGGAAATAAAGCTAACTTATAGTTATCCTAAAATAACCATAAATTTAAAATTTTATAGAACCCTATACTGAAACAAACCATAAGAACCAACCGAACGGTCATACAAGCAGTGTATTACACCGAACGACCCTACACTAATACAAAAATAAGCACAAGACTGACGGTCTTACTCTAACAGAAACCATCCTCTCGTGCCAGCACCTGCTCTAGAGAACCCTCATCACCTTCTACTCACACCCACAGGGTGATCATTGTAATGACAAAAACGACCGAACGAACAACATGACAAGATAGTAATAAGGGTAAGCTAATGTAATTTAATTAATCCAATAAAACATATAATTCAAACAAATATAAGAGTAAACAAAAACCAATCATGTCAATCATGCAACAACCAAACATACATTTCCAGCAATGACCAAACGTATAATACATGCAATGACCGACCACTTTTACCCTCACTGTCCGGACTGTATGAATTGTATAGCTACGACGTTTGTGCACCCGTATGGTGTAGTAGCTGGGATGCCCTAAACAGCTGCCCCCAGGGTTAGTCCGTTATACCTCACCCAAGTTAACCTTATGGACTAGGACCTCCTGCCATTCTCACACATGAGCTACTCCTCTCTACGTGAGAATGAGTAATCACAGAATATCAGGATAAATGCCAGCTAAGCATAACCACATTCATACTTTACAATTCAGTAACCAACCACGAGATATTCCTCGTTGGAATACTCTTTCATATCCATACTATTCAACTCATGTCATACTTTAAATACCATTATACTTAACCATCAATACAGTCAAACCGAATAATAAAATACGATCCCATCCTTGAACAAAATCGAAAGAGATATCATCAGACCTATGAACAAGACCGAACGGGAGAATACTTCTTAGAGGCTAACATCACCAAATACTAAAAGCTTTGAACCGAAACCTAAGAGCTTAGACTGAATACTACAAGCTTAGGCCGAACACTATCGGCTGAGGCCGAACACTTACTCTATCATAACTGCTAGTATAATACTGAGCACTACCAAGAACGAGCACTAGTACGAGACCGAGCACTACCAAGAACGAACGCTAGTACGAGACCAAGCACTACCACTCGCATACCGGCTAATACACTATTGAATGCTAACACTAGCATAACTGCTAGTACAAGACCGAGGGTTATCACTTAGCATAACGGCTAGTACACGACCGAGCGCTAACACTAGCATAACTGCTAGTACAAGACCAAGCGCTATCACTGGCATAACGGCTAGTACACGACCGATCGGTCATTAACTGAAACCCCACAGAAGCAAAACTCAATTAAGACCGAACACAATACAAACTTAGTACTACTAAGAACGAACGCTAATACAAAACTGAGTATGGCTAGGAGACCGACCACCCACCTAATACCGAACACAAATTTCTTAATTTCACCATCACCCTTCCTCACAATTCACTCAGCCATTGAACCAAAATTATGCAGAATCCCAAACCTCACGAACATAGCATATAACAGTCCACACCAAGATCACCGAACATCAAATAATTCAATTTCACACACATGCAAAATCATAAACAACATATTCATACATCAAAACCAAATAATTAAATTAACTATCTTCCCTTACCTTAAAGCAACTCGACAACTTTAACTTCTCCACAGTTTGCTAAACCGCAAGCGATACTAAGACAGTCTACAGTCTTTGGATCGGTGAAAGGAAACCAACCACCGAACCAGAAACAGAAACAAAATTAGAATGAAAGGCTGATGAACACATACAAGACCGCACAATGCTTGCATGTGACAGGAAATGCATAATTTTTCAAAAAGACAAAGGAATTGAACTTACCAGTTCAAAGCAACAACTTGATCGGTGCAGAGGAAAGCTCTTGACACCAGAAAGGCTCAACCACAGCCTGATTGATGATCAGATGAAAAAGAAGTGAGAATTTCTAGAGAGAAGAGAGAGGAAAGGTAGAAGATTCTGTCTTAGAGAGATACAGAGTCTGAAAATAATGAGACCATCTTTGTTTAAATTTTTTTATTTATATGCTCATGCAACACTTGGTCTCTTTATTTTGAAACATCTGTCCCCTCATAACACAATTTATGGGCTCTCACATTTTACATAATTTTTTTATCATTAGATAACAATCATAATTTTTTTCTTCGATTTTAAAGTTTATATGGTATATTATTATGTTGATTATTTTTTTTTATCTTACTGTTACTATAATTATTCTTTCTTGAAAGTAAAAAGTTGACGTTCTTCATAAAATATTTCCCACCATAAATACAGTCCAATTTTAATAAACAAGCATTCTAATACATAATTTCTAATGAACTTCACGTTTTAAATGCAATTTTACTTTTCTTTAAATAAAAAACCTCATGTTTAAACAGTGTTACTTTTATCCTTTTAAAAAAAATATCAAAATTATATTTTCAGCACAACTTAATTATTTTAAGGTAAATAACCACTTTAGTTCAACAAGTGTTCACATATTTATTTTTTAATATATAAAAATAATACAATTTTAATATAAATATAAAATTTTAATTTTTTTAAATTTTATTTAAGTTTTTATAATCAAGCACGTGTTTAGTATTTAACAATTATATTCTTTATCAATTTATATGAACTGATTAAGTTGGTTTATTAAGTTGATAAATTTCTTCAACTACCTATTTTCAAATTTTATCTGTAAAGAAATTATGGCATGCCTGCCACAACACTATTTTTTAACATTCTAATTATTTGTAACAACTTTTTAGTCCATAATTATTTTTAAATAATTCAATAACAAATTATCATATAATTGAAAAAATAGAGCTGTGAAAACGGGTAACTCGGCTCAACCCAGACTCACCATGGGTTGGTTACTTAGTGAGCTAACCCAACTCGATTCATTTATTAGCGAATTGAAAAAATTCGAACCCGGTCTCACCTACTACAGGTTGGTGGGTTAAAATGGTTGGCTCACTAGCTCATTTAATTATAAGTTTTTTAAAAATAAAAAAATTACAATTTTTTTAAATTCAAATCTAAATAAATTTTAGTTAAAATAACGTTAAACTCCAAAGACAATTCAAAATAAATAAATAAAATATCATACAACCCAAGCTTAATCCAAAAACATGTACAAAAGACGAACAAATAAGCTTAGGCGAACAAATAAGTTTTTAATATTGATAATTTTTGTATCACTTATCCATTTATAATATTAGAGTCTTGGATAGATAAATGGATAATATTTTTTCTTTTGAAACATCTTCTTCTTTATCACCATCTAAAAGTGAATCAATCCGATTCACCATAAATTCAACCCAGTTAGCCAGATTCTAAATAAGCCAAGTTGAAAACTGTATAAAGATATTATATTAACACCACTATAAAAAAGTATTCAAATGTTGTAATATTAAAAGTTGTACTAAATATTCCTTAAGTAATTAATTTATTACAAGAGTATAGTTTCAACCAATCAACAAGAAAGAGTTAAGTTGGCACATTGGAGAGATGAATACTTGAGTTCACATGGTGGTGGGTTGTTGTAGAAGAAAAGAGGTGATGACCCAAACACTTAAAAAATTCACACGACACAAACACAATCCTCGGACCCACTTCCATGGCTACTGTTCCTTCTCTTTGCACCGTCTTTCCCATACTCACACCAATCTTGTCGAAGTCCCATTTCGTTCCCCTCTCTTCCCGAACCCCAAAACGAAGTCGTATCATCAGCTGTGTAGCTGAGGACCGTGAAATAGTTCCGGTGTCTGAAGACAGAGGAGCCCGTTTCCATGAAGTTGAGGGGATTCAACCTTCCGAATCCATAACAGAGGCAGAGGTTGATCCTCGCCTCACAAGCAGTAGTACCGTTAATGCCTTCATCGTTTTGGGGTTTGGGACTTTTGCTGTCACCAAGTTGCTCACCATTGACCATGACTACTGGCATGTTAGTTTCAATATTAAATTTGCTTACTTTTTATTGTTCTTATCATTATTGTTACCCAATTGTTGTTTTTCACATACCCATTGAGCTGAAAAATGATCCTGTCCTATCGATTCAAAATTATTAACATGGCAATTAATCTGTATAGCTGAAATATTGTTTCAAGTTATACAACCATGTTCTTGTTGGTTACCAAGTTCATCGATAATATTAATAGTTCATAGAATTTAAAATTGGGTTTAACCCAACTCCAAAAACTTGTTCATGAGATAGAGGTTGCCTCTACTGATATATACTTTTAGTCATTCACTAGTTAATAGAATCCAACACCTTTCCCTATGATGAGGGCCGGACATCTCGCATCTGAAGTTTGTTTTTTTGGACATCTTCCACTGGTTTGAAAAATGTCTAGTAACATGTAGCCTGATAGGCTTAACAAGTATCAACAAACAACCATTACGATAAACTTTAGCACTATATTAGAATTTGTTGTAGAGCCTAATTCAACTCTAAAAGCTTGTCCAGGAGATTATGGTTGCCTCCTACTACTTATGTATATTACTATTGTTTTGGCTGTATTGCCTATATTTGTAGTCAATATAGGATCTTTGGTAAAGAAACAAGAGGAACATTTTTAATACTAGAGTGATTAGGAAAGAGAACTGAAGTGTATTTTATGTGGGACACAGAAGAAGTTAACATCGAATTTGTGTTTTATTATTCAGGGTTGGACCCTTTATGAGATTCTAAGGTATATACCTGAGCACAACTGGATTGCCTATGAGCAAGCTCTGAAAGCAAATCCGGTTTTAGCTAAAATGGCAATAAGTGGGATTGTCTACTCAATTGGAGACTGGATTGCTCAGGTTTGTTTTTGACTGTCAAAATGTGAAATGCTAATTTTGGGCATAGAATTTCAGACACTTCAGCTATTTCTAACTAAAATATACAGTGCTATGAAGGAAAGCCTCTTTTTGAGTTTGATCTGGCACGGTTACTCAGATCAGGTCTTGTTGGGTTTACTCTCCATGGATCTCTTTCTCATTATTATTATCAACTTTGTGAGGTGATTATTTGGACTTCTGATTTGGAACTATTCGGTGATATTCTATGAATGACTGAAATTGTTTGCATGATTTCACAGGCTCTTTTTCCTTTCCAAGAATGGTGGGTTGTCCCTGCTAAAGTTGCTTTCGACCAAACTGTGTGGTCTGCAGTTTGGAACAGCATCTACTTTGTGGTTTTGGGCTTATTGCGGTTTGAATCTTTGACTAACATATATGGTGAACTGAAGTCAACATTTTTCCCCTTGCTTACTGTGAGTAGCTGTTTGATTTGTTTCTTTATGCTGTTTTCAGATTTTAATTTTCAGTGTAAATTACCTGCCTCAGTGTAACGTTGTGGAGATGTGTCAAGCTAAAAATTGAGCTTACGTACTTGGACTATGTCATACTGTCAGGCTGAAGTTGGTAGAGCATTAAACTGATAGTGTTGGGCATATAGTAGGTAGTAGTAACAATTTGAGTGAACCTAGAATTCAAATTTTCAGCTATTTGGGTTCCATCCTATTCTCATNATCAGGTCTTGTTGGGTTTACTCTCCATGGATCTCTTTCTCATTATTATTATCAACTTTGTGAGGTGATTATTTGGACTTCTGATTTGGAACTATTCGGTGATATTCTATGAATGACTGAAATTGTTTGCATGATTTCACAGGCTCTTTTTCCTTTCCAAGAATGGTGGGTTGTCCCTGCTAAAGTTGCTTTCGACCAAACTGTGTGGTCTGCAGTTTGGAACAGCATCTACTTTGTGGTTTTGGGCTTATTGCGGTTTGAATCTTTGACTAACATATATGGTGAACTGAAGTCAACATTTTTCCCCTTGCTTACTGTGAGTAGCTGTTTGATTTGTTTCTTTATGCTGTTTTCAGATTTTAATTTTCAGTGTAAATTACCTGCCTCATTGTAAACTTGGACTATGTCATACTGTCAGGCTGAAGTTGGTAGAGCATTAAACTGATAGTGTTGGGCATATAGTAGGTAGTAGTAACAATTTGAGTGAACCTAGAATTCAAATTTTCAGCTATTTGGGTTCCATCCTATTCTCATTAAAAGTTGTGTATCTTTGTACCTTGTTCTTAAACTATGAATTATTTGAATTGTTCGGGGTAGCTTATCCTGAAATCTGCCTTATGCCATACTGTTTCAAGTGTCACAGCTTTGTGTTTTTCTTGTGCCTCGTACCTCCTCTTCATGAGCTTAGTAAGTAGTACCGTAACTATCTTGAAGCTGGTACTGAATAAAAAGGCTGTGAAATGTGCTCAGTCCTAAACCCCTAATTAATACTATATCTGCAGCAAAGCATAAGGCCCTAGGAAAGCATGTGGGTAAAATAAGAACAAATGATCCGATGCCTATGTTTGCATATAGAAAAGTGAATAAATAGAATCTAGAGAAGGTGGTGTACCAGCTATATGTATAATGAGGAAAACGAGAAAATTGAAGGAAAACGAGAAGGTGGTGTACCAGCTATATACAAATTGCCCATTTGATCTCATAGACACCTGTAAAGGAAAACGAGAAAATTGAAGGAAGAAAGTGGTCAAATAGGAATTTAGTTAGTAAAAGCTAAACTAAGCACTAGCAATGCAAGGATGAAGAATAGTATAATGAATGAAATGTATATTCTTATCCCTGTGTGATTCTTTATAATAAAAGGTTTA